TATATTATTTTACTCGAGGATTGCACTATTCTTTATCCTTATAGGAAAACATAAACAAATGTCTACGAAAAATATAAGAAAAAAAATCACATTAGGTTAAAAATATATCTCACAATACAACCGAAACAATGTTCCACGTATCGATCGAATATAAAAAAAAAACAAAAAAATAATAATAATAATAATAAACAAGGTTACAGATAAGTGGTAAAATAAATGAAAAGTAAAGAAAATGTTTCAAATGAGAAGATAAAATGGCGCATCACGTACAGGTCGGTCTTCTTCTACGAGCAACGACGATGTTCAATGAAAAATTCTCTCTCTCTCTCTCTCTTTCACTTTCACTTTCTATTTTTCTATCTGTCTGTCTATCTGTCTCTTTCTCTCTCTCTCTCTCTCTTTCTATTTCTATCACTATATCTATCTTCGTATCTCTAATTGTTAAATAAATAAATCGACGAACGATAGCAGAGGGATTACGTGAAATGCGTTATAAATAATCCTAAGGATTGGTAAACAAACAAATTCCCTCTCCTTTTTTTTCTCTATGTGTTGTTTCGATAGGGCTGACCTCCCCGAGCTGCAATTTCCCTTTCGAGGACCTGACAGACGCCGAGGATTCGCTAGTCAGCGACACGGAGGACAACATTGGTATTGATGTGCCTTGCAAGAACTCCGTAAAAAAATAAAATAAAAAAAAGAAAATAAAAAAACAATAAAAAAAAAGAGTGGCGTAACGCACGGGGGTAGAAACAAAACTCTTCAGTTGAAAATTCTACGTCCCAGGAAGTATCTCCATCGATATTCGATGTCTTTTCTTTTGTGACCCTTTTTTTTTGGTTTTTTTTTTTTTTAGGAGTATCGTAAAAAACAGAAAAAGAAGGAAAACAAACAAACGTTCTCGTTGTACATTTGACCCTTTTTTTTTCCTAGGTTGAGAATTTTGTATATATATTTATGTTTGAGTATTTAAGTATGTATGAACATCCATAGAAACTCATGCATTTAATATAGAAAAAAAATAGAAACTAGGATATTTTACTATTTTCTTATTCTCTATTTCGATTATCTCTGTCACACTATTTCTTTTTATTTTATTTTATTTTATTTTATTTTATTTTTGTATATTTTTATTTGTAGTCTTATCAATTTATTGAACGTAGTAACAATTTTACAATCGATTTCAAAATGGGATCAAATTTGAATACTTTTGATATTACGATTGATAAGGGATCATTTTTTTTTACCCCCGTGTCGTTCGGTAATACCCGCTTCTCTAAATAATCTAATATATATATATATATATTATATATATTATATATATATATTTATATATCGCGAGCGTAATTATAGAAGTTCCATTTGAAACCTGTGTGCGGTAGTTTGTCCCCCTAAATCCCACCCCTTGTAAAAGTCATTGTGCAGGCCGCATAGTTGACAAATATATATATATATATATTTATTGTGTCGTTGAGCTACCCTAAAACTTGTTGAAGATAAAAAATAATATATTACCTATAATAAATTATCGAGAAAGTTCCTTTCCATAGTTTCAGTTTAATACCCAATCCTCCACCCTCCACCCTCCACCCCCCCTGCCCGCCCAGGTTCCGTTTGTCCTTCGACGTTTACGCCGTTTTTGTAGCGCCGAGAATGATCCCAGCTCTGCTTCTTCGTCGTAGTAGTAAAACCTATGTAAAATGATGAATTTGATATATTTTTTTTTTCTTGTAAGATCGAAGGGTTCGTTACGATTACAATTATTAATCATTTGTGTAATTATCTTAATTATTTTTTGCATATAAATAATTTTTATTATTACGTGTTTATTAAATGTGCAGTAAAAAGGGAATGCGCTATCGATGGATGAAAGATGCATGCGATATATACATAAATATCATGCATGTGTGTGTGTAATATGTATATACATAAACGCGTGGGTGTGTATCTCGAGTAATAAACCCTTCGATAATTTTTTTATTATTTTCTAATTTTTTTTTTTTTTTTTTTAATTAATTTCTTTTTTCAAATCTTTTTATTTAATTGAAATCGATCGATAATTGTCCGAAAAAAAGTAAAAAAAAAAAAAGAAAAAAATATGTGGGAGTGTTTATGACCGTCATTGTTCGTAGTAATAGACTAGCCTGTCTCTTTGTGTGTCCGTCTATATTTGTATGGCTTTTATGTTCAATTTAAAAAGTAATTAAGAGAATAATTGGAAGAATAAATCTGTCAAGGTAAAAGATTTTGTTCTTACCGTAAAAAGAATTCAATCCGTGATAGATGTTCATATGAAGAAGAAATCCGATAATCTTGGAATTGATGAACGATCGTTTAAATATAATACGATCTCGGTGGATGGTTTCGGTTGGAAATTTATAATTGAAGATACATATATATATATATGTATTTTATATCCATGTATATATATATATATCGAACTTTATTTGATTTCCCTACAAAGTACAAAGTATAGTGCACCTAACGATTTTATCATTGAAACATTCGAGAACGGTATTTAATTAGGTTACATTATTAGCACGAATTAATTCTATTAATAATAAAAAAAAATAATAAATTAATTAACGAACTCATTAATACATATCAACAAATAGAAAAGAAATTTTCTATTTGATAGCATTATCGTTTAAATCATAACGCATATAAAACGCATTTGTATCGTCGTCGTTGATTTATGTTATGTCCGAGTTGCAACATTATTGCATTGAAACTTATCGAATCAATCAGATCTAATATTTATTTCTTTGTATGAAAATATGACAAAGAAATAATTGATCATTATATGAATGATGCATTTGTGCATGTTAAAATATATTTATATTCATGATAAAATCCTCATTTTTTGTATTACTAACAACAGTGTCGACATTTGTTATGTTCATGCTATTCATTCAATTCTTTCACATATATATTATTATTCCTTGCACATTTATAATAAATGTCTATTTGTAGTATATGTCACAAAATATGTTTATAAGTAGATGTAATTTCAATTTATTTAATTAAATTATAATTATCGTTATCCCATTTATATGATCATTATAATAATAATAATCATCATCATCATCGTATTTTTATGCTCATATTGCATTTCATTTATGTTTGAAAAAATATTTATTTACGATGAATAGAAAGAAAAAAAAAAAAACGTTGTTCTTTCATACTTTTCACACGTCATTTTAAATGTTGCGAAAATTGCGACTGCCGTGAACACATTTGCCAAGTTCTTAACAAGAGTTAATTACTTCAACGAGTTAAATTGGCCTTTTAAGAAACAAAATGATTCTCACTTACGAAACAACCAGTTTAACCGTTACTTACAAAACGAAACGTGAAACTTACCTGTAGAAATGAAAATGATACGTTTATACCACGTCGTCGTTTATTAAAACACGGGTTTTACAATTTTTCATATTACGTGAAATATATTATACATACACGTTTATATTATTATATAATAATATATAAAATATATAAAATTAATTCATATATAAAATATAAATTAAATATAATAAAAATATTAAATATATTAATTAATATTAAAATTAATTTTTATCTTAATTATTATATATATATATATATATATATATGGATATGTGTATTTATTAGTACTGTTGTTAATAGATAATCTCATCTCGAATAATTACGCGTTTAAATCGCATTTAGAAATTAATTAATTTTAATTTTACACACAAATATATATATATATAATAAAATCTATAATAATAATAATAATAATAATAATATAATAATATAACAATAATAAAATAATTTGTCGATTAATTTATAGACGCATTTGCACGTAATCATTTAGCACACAAAGTTTCTATAGACAACACCGTTGTTTCATTTTCATGTTGGTGCTTTACGTGTCGTGTTTACGGTTTCACGATCTGAATTAGTGACACGTACAACAACTCATGCCAAGTTGTTCGTGTCACCTATTCGATAATTATAATCAATGTCGATTGTCTCGAAATTAGTTCGATTCTTTGTTAATAAAAGCACAGTTGCGAATAGGACAACACGATTGAATTATTTTTATTGATTTAAAGTAATTCATATTGATTTTTTCTTTTGTTTTAATAATCYAATTATTTCTGTTTTAATTAATTAATTAATTATTCATCGTTCTCTCATTTTCTTCTTCTCGTATTCAGTCGATAAAAGAAAAAAGATGAAATATCTTCGATTAATTTCAAATTCTTTCTTTCTACTTTCTGTCTATCTTTCTTTCGTTCTTATTCTCTCTCTCTCTCTCTCT